AAATTATAATTTAATTATTTAATAACAAAAATAAATTATTTAAATTAATACTTTAATTATAATAAATTTTTATAATAATTTATTCTGTTAAATTAAGTTAAATAATTTATTAGTTATGAGTTAAATAAATAAAGTCTCTGATTTAGCAGGTTTTGTTTAAGGGTGAGATGGCAGTATGGCCGGAATTCTTACGCGCGGGCAGGGTTTGAACCCCGCCAAAGTCATTTCGCGCGGGCGGGGGACCCAGCGCGGATCAGCTGGATGCTCCGTGCGGGAGCTAGGGCGGGCCATGTGCTAGTGCGGGCTTGGGCTGGGGCCATGTGCTTAGGCGGCTGGGCTAGAGCGTGGCTGGGCTGGAGCGGAGCTCAAATAAAAGCAGCGGCGGGGCCGATTTTTATTTTTATTTTTCTTGAATTTCCGGTGTAAAAAAAATCCATCATAAATATTTTTACAGCGAAAAATTCGCCGGAAATCCGTTGGAAATGTTTCCGGTGAATTATTTTGCAATGGAAGACCTTTTCCAATGCGCGTTAAACCGGTGAAAATATTTTCGTCAGAAATCCGCCGGAAATGCTAATTTTCGATTCATTTTGGCCATTTTTCCGCCGGAAAATGACGGGAGCACTAGATTTTCTATATTTTTCTATAATAGTTTATTTGTTATGTTAGTAGGGGAGTTTAGTCATTTAGTAAAATTCTGACTTCAGTGTGTCTCTCTGAAATTTTCTTAGGAGTGACAGCTAAGAGAATTCAGGGAGCACTAGATCCACTTCTTTAGAGTGTTTGGTCAGTGTTTGTAGAAGCAATTTTGTAAGTTCAAGGAGTAGTGTTGAGGAGCGTTGAACCATCTGGTAATATCTTTTCTTTTTACTTTCTTTCTTATATATTATTAATGAAAATGCGTTGATCCAATTATTCATCACGGTTGGCTAATTCCCAAAGTTTTTGATTGGTGGTGTAAATAAAATATGGAATACTAATGATTTATGTTAATTTTTAAATTAATGATATGATATTTTCAATATACCAGGTTTTTATTTAATGCATGTAATGGCCATATGTGCAATTAATATTAGGTGTAATGTGGAGCCTAGGAATAGGAAAACAGGTACAACCAGGTATGTTGGATTGTTATGATAAAAGCATAGGCATAGTGCTTGTCTTCTATCAAATTTATAGAAATGGATTATCATGAGGGGGTGATTAACAATACATGCTTTACTTACTTTTCTAAGATTTTTATAGAGCGACAGATTATGGGAGTTTAGAGTGATATTGAGAGTGGAATGTGTTAAACTCATCCTTATCTCTTCGTGCTTGACTTCATAGTCGATGATGCTTATGCTCCGAATAACATCTCATTGTTAAGAGAATCAGTAGGAAATATATTAATTTTAAATTTCAATATCAAAATAGGTGAACCCTAGGGTCTTTATTTGAGCGTTGTGAAGTCAATGTAGCACTCTCTAACTTAACAGCACTGGAATTTTGTGCCGCGGCGCTGTATAAATAGAGACTAGGCTTTGTAGTGCTAACTCCAACGCTGCAGTGCTGGGATAGTTTGCTGCGCTTTGTATCGTTGACTCCTCTGTTGCTGCGACACTATCAAACATAGACTTGGCATTGCCACGTACATATGTAGGTGCTCCGGTCATGTCAATGATGGTGCCACAACAGTATTATATTCTCAACGCCACTGTGTTGTGTCATACTTGCAAAATTTTCCAATTTCTTGTATTTTCCTACACAAATGCAACTAAAACATGCTTTAAATAATAAATTAATACATAAAATAAAATATTATTTGCTCTTATCAAATCATTCGTAAATTAAACTCTTACTTGTCCTCAAGTAAATGAAAGCTTTTCATTCTTATTATTTGATTAACAAAAATTAAAAATAATAATATAATATTATTACAATGTAGGATAATACACCACTGTCTAAAATTAGTAAAAATAAATCAAAGCTATACTTCTAAAAAAATATGAATATTTAAATTTGACCAATCATTCTTGTATTTACCTAATTTAAAATTGTATGTTATAGATTTAATCATTAACTTGTAAATGTTGAAATGAATAATATATTTTTAATAATTAGATATAGTTATTGTTAAAATTGCACTTTCATTAGTTCACCATCTCTTGCATTAGCCCCCTCATCTTATCCTTTATAATTTTTGAATAAGATGATATTTCAAATCTTTAAGCTTTCACTGATACTGAATTTTTGATGTACTCATTTTCTTCTTTTGAAAATTTTCATTTTTTTCTTTTTAAGAACTATTTGTAGTTTTTCTTTTCTTTTTCTTTTGTGAAGTACATAATTAATGATTTTGAATATCAACTTCTACTTTTAAGATTTTATGCAATCTTAATAATTTTAATTTATGGAATTGAAGAGATTACTAATTTCATCTTCATGTTAGCTATGATTTAATTTTTAATCTACTCATATCTAATTTTTTATGCTAATTATTCTTCTTATAATTTTTAAAAGTTAAATTCATAAAAGTATAACTTATAAATTCAAATTTATGATAATAGCTCAAATAGTTGAATTAGTTAAGTATTTATTTTTTCCAACCTATGAAGTATACAAGGAGTTCATTCAGACAAGGATCTTGGGTTTTATTATTATCCTAATTTTTCATAGTTTTATTTATCATTTTTATAAGGGTTAATTAAATAAATAAAATTTAAAAGTATCGAGAAGACAATAATAATTTATAAATGAAGGAAATTTGCCAATATGTAAATAAGCACATAAACAAACACTACAAATACATGCTTTCATATGAGTGATAAATAGCGCATGAAATATGTGTTAAAACAAAACTTAACATATCATTAATAACCAGTCCACATGGAAACCATCATTCAACAATTACTTTCAAAGCCAAATTTTTCATTTAAGTTCAACTACATAAGTCAATATCTGCCACCACTTATTTTCCACCTACAAAATAATATCTCAAATTTTTTTTTCAAATGCTATAGGTTTTCAGCGGCCAACTAGCAGTTTGGCAGCCAGTAACACTGATACCGGACGGCTAATCATAGCCGTCAGAAGTTCACTATAGCCGTCGGTAATTACCTGTGGTTTGCCGACAATTGCTGGTGATTCTCCGGCGATAAGCTGGCGGTTTAGCCTCCGATAATTCCTTCGGTTCTGACCGCCGGTGATTGTGGTCGCCGGTGTTCAGCCGACGATGACCCGGCGGTTTGGCTGCCTGTATTACTGGAATTTTTGATAGCCGGTAAATAACCGGCGATCACTGGCATTACGATTGCCAAAAATAACCTGCGGTATGGGCCGCTGGAAAGTCGCCAATGAGTAAAACCACCGGAAAAAAACCGCCGAAAATTCTTTCCTACGCGAATTTTACCGGCGGTTTTTGAACCGCCGAAAAGCCACCGGTTTATTACAAAACCACATGAAAGCCTATAATAACCGCTGGAAAAAATTGCCGGTAATGTCTGAATTTCTTGTAGTGAATGATAGGTAATGTCTGAATTTCCTGCAATGAATGATAGTGAAAGGATCAATCCATCCATATTTGGTTTTCCCATGTCAATTCTTTTCCTTATAAATTAAATAGAAACATATGTTGCCTAGGAAAGAAATCATACCAGAAAACTCTACCACCATGCATCTTCATTATTTCTGACATATACTTCTTCTTATCTTCACGCAACTCTTCTTTTAATTATTTCAACTTTATGAAAATGGTAGCACTTTGCATGGGGAGAAGGGAAAAAGAATCCTCATTGTTGGTATGATTTTCATTTTGGTTCTTTGAATAAGATGATGCTTGCTTGTTTCTACCCATTGCTTAGACTTTTGATTTCTAAGAGAAGAAAGTATGATAATCACTCAAGAGTAGGTAAGAACTAAAAAGAGAGCTTCCTTATAGTTGGTTTTATAGATTTTAGCAAGAGAGAATTTTTAGAATTTTTAAATTTCAATCATTAAAGCCCATCAGGGTATTGCGACGTTCAAAGGTATAGCATCGCGGCACTCCCTTCTTCTCTTTCAACGATTTCTTTAAGCATATTAAGTAAAACCTAATCTAGAGGATAGGGTTGCTCCCTAAAAAGATGCTAATTTTATAATCTTCAATCATACTAGATAATTAACTAAACCAAGGTTGGGTTGTCTTTCAAGCAATGCTAAGTTTATAGTCTTCAACCAAATTTTGCCCTGATTTTTCATTTGGCTCAGTTAGATGATTTCTATTCTTCAATTGAGTCCCATTGGTATCTCTTTCCTTCTCTTTAAGATTAACTTCAGTGTTACTAGGAAGATATTCAATGGGTTTACTACTCACAAAAATTACAAGCTAACTTAGTTGAGTTTTCAAATTTTTAATTAAAGTAGCTTGGTTTTATAATTGAGTTCCCAATTGCATGACCACATCTTCTAGTGGTGTCTTCCTTGTTCTACACTTATTGCTTTTATTTAATCTATGACAATATGCTGGTCTTGGATTATTAGTAGTTTGAATTTGATTGGTCCAATATGTGCCTTGGTTATTTTGACTATAATTCCATTGATTTCCATCATTATTATTTGACCAATTAAATTTTGGGAGATTCCTCCAACTTGGATTATATATATTTGGATAAGGATTATTTTATCTCCCAATTGAATTTATATTTTCAATCCTTTGGATATCATTTTGTTCTACTTAACTTTTATCGTCAAAATGTAAATTTTAATCATAATTTAAGCCTAAAATGCTCAATTTCTTTGATATTGCTGCAACTTGTGCTGTCAAAACAGATAAAAAAATTAATTTCATAAACTTGAACCACTTTTTTAAGATTCACTCTATTAGCAGACCACTAAAAATAATTTGTTGTCGGTTTTTAATTAATTCATAAGCATCTTCAAAAGACTTTTATAATAAAGTGCCTCCAGTTGTAGCGTCAATTATCACTCTAAGGGATCCTGCCAATCTATTTTAAAAAGTTTGAATTATCAATCAATCAGGTAAGGTATGGTGAGGACACTTTCTAACCATATCCTTGAATCTCTCTCAACTCTCATAAATAAATTCTCCTTCTAACCGAGTAAAAGAAGTAATGTCTTTTCTAAGCTTGGTAGTCTTAGAAGGTGGTAAATTCTTTTTTAAAAATTGTGGGCTAACTTATTACATGTGGTAATAGAGCCTGGGGGTAAAAATTTAACCATATTTTTCCTTATCTCTTAGAAAAAATGGGAACAATCTAAGTCTAGTGGCATCATCACAAATACTGTTGTACTTAAATATTGCCTAAATTTCTAAGAAATTTGTGCAATGTAAGTTAGGGACTTAAATGAGAGTTCTCCCAAATTGAGAATTTTGTATAATCTGAATGATTGCATGTTTTAATTCAAAATTAATTGCTTGGATGGAAGGTCTATTTATGCTTTGGTGAATTCTATCTACTAAAGAGTTTGTAAAACTCTTAAAAGGTCTAGAATAATAATTCTTTAAATATGATCATCTATTTTAAAAATCTTTTTGGTGGTACTAATTTTAGAAAGAGTTCTCTCGATTTCATAATAAAAAATTTAAAATATGTCTCTTTCTATGTCTTATAAGCATGCAACCATAAATATACAATCAGTAAATTAAAACAAAAGAATAAAAGAATATAGTAGGACTAATTATGCAATTATTTCAATAATATAGTAAATGTGCAAATAAAATAAATTCTTCCCTTGTGATGGTGCTAAAAGCTTGATTGAGGCAGTGGAGTAACCTGAAGAATTGTGAATATGGTTTAGGGCTCTATTTATCCCTAATCAATTCTTATTTTTTCTTTGATATAAAAAATTATAAAAGTCTCACTTAATATACATAAATATATGTGCTGAATCAAGTATAGTGATAAAGTAAAGTATCAATCCCACGAGGAATAATGTTTACTTGAAAATACTAATATTGTCTACTTCAACTACAATAATTATCCTACTCAATAAAAATAAGGTTTGGTGGAGTTTCAATTATTTCAGTAAAATTAATTAAAAAAGTAAAGCATACACTTATATGAATAAAATGTTTTGGATTAATGAAATATAAAATTAATATATTTTCTACTTTCCCTTTTAATAATGAGAGCATAAGCATCTTTGATCTCTAAGTCAAGCGTGAAGAGACAAAGATGGGTTTAAACACATTCCACTCTCAATACCACTCTAAACTCCCATAATTCAGCACCCTATAAAAATCTTAAAAGAGTAAGTAAAGCATGTACTGTTAATCACCCCCTCATGACAATCCATCTTTATAAATTTGATATATGACAAGCTGCATTATGCTTATGCTTGCATCATACTAATCCAACATACCTAGTTATTCCTGCTTTCCTATCCTTAGGCTCCACATTACACTGAATATTAACTACACATATGACCACTATATGTATTAAATGAAGACTTAGTATATTGAAAATATCATATTATTAATTCAAAGATTAAGAGAAATCATTAGTATTCCATATTTAATTTATACCATCAATCCAAAACATTAAGAATGAGCTAGCCATGAAGAAAAATTGGAGCAAACTCATTTTCATTAATAACTTACAAGAAAGAAAGTAAGGATATCGCCAGATGGTTCAACATTCTCCTCTATACTTCTCCTTGAACTTACATAATAGCTTCCAAAAACACTAACCAAATACTATAAAGAAGTGAATATAGTTCTACTTGAATTCCCTTAGCTATTACTCATAAGGAAACTTTAGAGACACTCTGAAGTCCGAGTTTTAATAAGAGACTGAACTCCCCTACTAATATAACAAATAGACTATTTATAGAAAAATATATAAAACATATTCTAGCACCGCGACACTCATGATACCTACGCTGTGATACCCATAAAATGAACTAATACCACAATGCATTAAGGTTTTTCTCCGTTTCAGTGCTTGCTGACATTGACCCACTATCAATGAATCAACGCATCATTTCACTAACAAATTGTTGCTTAAACAGCTATATCTGTAGCGCCATGGTGTTGCTAATGTACTGTGAAGTCCATGTGGCACTCCTCTGACTTAGTGGCACTAGAATGTTGGTGTCGCGGTACTTTACAGATAGAGGCTGGATTTCACAGTGCTGACTCCTCCAACACCGCAGTGTTGCGATAGTTGGTTGGGCTTTATGGCATTGACTCCTTCGATGATGTGTCGTTGTCAAACAAAGACTGGGCTCCGCCATGTCCATATTTGGCCGCTCTGATGGTGTCAATGATGGCGTTGTGGTAGTATTAAGTTCGACGCCAAGGCGTTGTGTCATACTTGAAACTTTTGCCCATTTCTTGTATTTTTCTGCACAAATACAACTAAAATAACATGTTTTTATTAACAAATTAACACAAAAAACATAACATTGTTTTTACTTATCATCGACCACCAAACCTCCTCTCCTTGGATAAAACTCATTTTGGCAAACACAACATTAACCTCTTTTTATTCTTCACTCCACAGTATTTATATATGTTTAATAATGCTTTAAATTGATATAAAATCAAATTGTGAGAAAAGTTTGAGCTAACCTACTTGAAGAGGTGCAAAGGGGTACTACTCGGCTTTTGGAAAAGTGTATCCAACTCTTTAAATAAGAAAGCAAGCTATAATTACTTAAAATTTTATGTTTTTAAAATTTTTCAACCACTAGCTACATTTAAGCTCAAGCTAACATTCTCTACTTGTGATGCCTCCAATATTTCAAAATCCAAAATTCAAATGTTCAAAAGTTTAATTAATTAAAATTTTAATAAGAAGCATCTAGACCTCATGATGTTATCCTAAAACAATTAAAAGTAGGTGGAAGTCCACTATATATAATTGAAAAGGATGGAAAGTTTATGGTGATTGCAACTATCTCAATTTGATTAGTCAATTCAACTTGAATAAGTTATTGAAGATTTATTTCTTTTGATTTAAAATTTATCTCATTTTCATTTTGCTCAAAAGCATACCTATGAATAACTTCCTTTGTGGAAAGAGATTGTTAGTGATAATTTCTAACTAAAATAAGACGAAGCATTTGAATGCTAGGATAAGATCACAGCAATCACAATACCTGAAGCATCGATTCCAATTGAATAAGAACAAGAAAAGTCTGTATGTTTTAATACATGTTCCTTTCTGAACCAAAAAAAGTTTATCTTTTTCCAATGGAATTATTAGTGGAGCAACAATCATGGCATAATTTTGAATAAACTTTTGATAATATCCAGTAAATATTAGCTACTTCATATATTTTGATGATTAACCTGATTGAAATTCCTCAAGTTTAACTATATTGTTTGCTACTCTTTGAGTCAAAATGGTATGTCTCAGATATTCAATTTGTTCTTGAGAAATGAGGACTTACTTAGCTTAACAAACAGTCTCTGTGTGAAGTGATTGTAGTACTTAATGGATATGACTAACATTTTAAATTTGCTATATGTCAAAATATCATCAAAAATAATAGCACGAAAGTCATAGATATGAAAGAAGTATACTATTCATCATATTTTGAAATGTAATTGAGACATTTGTGAAGCTGAATGGCATTGCCAAAATTCATAATGATCTTCATGAGTTCAAAAAGTGATTTTGAATATCATCCATTCATTCAAATTTGGTGATATATTAAGCGCAAATCCATTTTTGAGAATATGATCGACCCATATAATGCATAACTTAATTAATCAACCTTGGGCATTGGAAAGTGGTGATATACTAGGCTTGATTTAAGGCTCGATTATCCATGTAAAACTGCCCTGGCTTCATTGGGAACAACTTTCCTATTGCTTTCTAAAGCAATTTTTCAGTACCAAAAATTTCAAATTCAAAAAAATTGTTATACTAAAAAGCAGCTTTATAAAATAGTAAGAAAGTAGTTCCAAACAAAACCTTTCTAGCCTGAATAATACAGTTGGACATTCATATTTTATAGCCAATCGAAGTTGTATAAAATTATGAGTAGATCCACTATCCACTAATATCTGAACGAGATGATTACCCCATTTCCCTTGCAAACGCAACGTAGTTGGAGTGAATTTCACAGTCCTCTATTATACTTCTTATTGCAATGAAAGCATAGACATCCACTTGGGCTGCAGTAAAACATTGTACAATGTTATTTACTGTATATAGAGAACTCACAAGTGGTTGCCGATCCTCTGTTGCATTGTTGAAATATCCTTTGCAACTAATTTAATTTTCGATTTGATAATTTTTCACAGAGATTATAAAATTCTCCAACCGTTAACGTTTGTTGTAATTTAGCCAGCTCTCCTTGCAAATCGCAATAAAATGATGGTCCTAAGTGTTGAAGTACACCACCTTTTAAAGCATTAAATGAAGTTAAAATTTGTTAAGATGCCATTTGGTACCAAAACATTGTCAGTTCGTCCAGTTCAGATATACTGAGGCAATAATGAGCCTTTGCTCTTCACAAAATAATAAGAAAATATTGATCATCAGTTGTTGCGGGCTAGAATATACATGGCAATAGAGAAAGAAAATTTTCGTCTCAATGTTGTATGGATATTCAGTACAAAAACAAAAGAAAAATGTAACAGCAAAATTTTTACATGGAAACCCTGAAAAAGGGAAAAACCACGGGGCCATACCTAGTTGAAAGGATTCCACTAGTGTTTGCTTAAGTTATAAGTAGTTGAATCATCCCTAAAATTGAGGACAGTCATGTTATAATAATCAACTCCCAGGTTGAAATTCAATTACAAACGGAGATTAGAAATCTGGTGATGTTTGGTGGTCGGACAGAAATCCGACTTCAATGGACGGTCGAGTAGAAATATGGCGTTAGTCGGCATTCAGGAAAAATTCCGGCGTTAGTCGGTGGCCGGGCAAATCTCCGACATCAATTGGAGATTGGGCAGAACTCCGGCGTCGGTCAGCTACCGGGTGAAATTCCGATGGAAGTCGTGGAGCCTAGTTGCAAGAGAGCTCTCTTCATTCTCTCCATTTTCTTCCTTCTCTTCTTGCTTTCTTACTTTCTTCTCTTCTCTTCTTGTTTGGGGTCCCCTCTCATGAGAATTGTAGAGTCTATTTATAGTTTTCTAAGAGTAGCTTAACATTAAATTAAAGGAAG